TTCTAACTCTCTATCCCTCTCCCTTCCTCTCTGTAAAAAATCAATAAAATATATATATAAAAAAAAAGAAACATCAATGATAAGAAACTCATTGACCAGCTGCCTCCTGCACGCCACACACTGGGGATCAAGCCCACAACCCAGGGATATGCCCTGACTGGGAATCAAAACCATGACCTCCTGGTTCATAGATTGACACTCAACCACTGAGCCACGCCGGCCGGGCACTACCATTTTAATTGAGGTGACCATGTGGTAGGTAGTGTTCTTACTCCGGGTGCAGCCTCTCAGTGCTCCTATGGGTATGTTACTCTTATCTTACAAATGGAGACCTTGAAGCACAGAGAGGGTAAGCAACTTGTTCAGGGTCACACAGCCAAGCAGTCCAGCTGCAGAACCCACATACCTAAACCACAATGATGTGCTGCCTCCTGGCAGGTGATGATGATGACAATAATGACACTTTTTGCACAGGGCTTGTGTAAGCATCAAACACATTGATATATGGAAAAGTGCTCTGCCAACGGAAAAGTGCTGTAGCAACGTGAACTCTCGAGTACCGAGTGCTGTAGGAGCACAAAGGAGGGAGCGCACAGCTCAGCCTCGGGGGAGATGCAAACAGGGGAGGACTACTGGGCACAGCATCACTGAGCACCTACTGTGTGCAGGCCCTGTGTGAAGCCATGGGAAATGGAATGAGGAAGGACACCCAGTCCTGGCATCTGGAGTGAGATAGACACAAATCATTATAATCCGGATGTGTCTGCCCTGGTTAGAAGTGGCAGGACAGGGACCACAGAGGCAGCAGGGACCATGGCCCGGGGCCTGACTGCTGTGCTAAGGCGAACCCCTTTCCTGTACCCTCTCCTTGCGGACACCATGTCAATGTGTGTGTCTTTCCACACATGCACTTCTCTAAAGAACACCTCCTCTCACCCCCTGTCAGGCTCAGCTCAGTCTGCACCTCCTCCAGGAAGCCCCCCGCCCCAGCTTATTGCTTGCCCTGGGTTCCCATCGCGTGTTCCATGGTTTTGTCCTTGCCCGGGTATAGGTCTAGCACTAGACTGAGCTCCAGGTGAGCAAGGGCCTGTTGCAGCTCCCACCGCACAGTAGCTGCCTTATAAATGTCTGCTGAGGATGAATAAATGAGTAAACACCTTACCTGTTTCTCTTTCTGAGTCCTGGCCTGTTGGTGCAAAGATATCAGACCCTGCCTGAAGGGTGGAGAGGGGGGAGGAGGGGCTTGAGCCTCTAAAGTCGGAAGCAAAGGGCACGACAAGGGCATTGGGACCACTGAGGAATCAGACTTTCAGCAGGGCTGGGAGCGGGTCTCTGTGGGGTGGGGGCCACATCCCCATAACTCTCACCCCTCCAATCCTCTGACAGCTCTGAACCAAGTGGAAAATCGAGTGGCCACAGCCCTCAGCCAGGTGCTGGGGGGGAGGGGAGGAGGCCTGCCCAGGGCGAGGGGTGTTTCGGGCAATCCATGCACACTCTCCTCCGTTAAAATCATCTCACACCCTCAGGGCGAGGACCAGGGCTGAGGAAGGAGCTGGCTTCAATCCCAAGGGCAGACTCAAGTCCAGAGGGTGGGAATGCCGTGTACCAGGTACCCCCATTCCACCGAGGGGGCCCTGGCAGCACCCGTGCCAGGCAAGTGTGCTATTGCTGACTTGATGGAGAAGGACATGAGCTCCAAGCTGGGGACAGCCAAGGCCCCGCCACAAAGGGCCTGAGACCCAGCCCCAGGCTCTGTGACGGCAAAGCGCGTTCTCCGTGCCGTGGAGCGCAGTCTGCTCCCCTGTCCCCGCCTGCCTGTCTGCACAGCTTTGCCCTGCTTCACCCTCACAGTCACCAGCTAGCGAGACATTGCATCAGACGTGTTCGTTTTACAGATGGGGAAACTGAGGCTCAGAGAGGGGGTACGGGACCAGGTTTCCTGTCAAAGACTGGAAAGGCCCGCTCTACCATTTACTGGCTCATGACCTTGAGCAAAGTACTCCGTCTTTCTGAGCCTCGGCGTGCTCCTTGTTAAATCTGGATAACAATGGCAGTTACCACGTGGAGTCACATGAGTTATTGCATCCTGAGTGTTGGAGCAGGAATAAGCAATCCATAAATGCTGGTTATCAGTGTGATCATTATCATTACTTCATGTGTGCACGTACACACACACATACATACACACACACAGCGTGAACTCCAGAGACAGGACAGCTCTAGGCGAGGAGCCCAAGGCTGGGAAAGCCAGGACACATCACTGGGGTGGGGCGTGTCCTCACAGTGAACCCCCACCCTGGGAGGCTCTGGCCACTGAGTCTGTGAGTACCAGGGAGGCAGGAGAGACCCCAGGAAGGCAGACAGACAGACAGACAGACCCCCAGGCCCAGGGCAGCCTGGGAGCCCACCTCGCTGCCTCTGTGGCCTTGGCCTTGTGTCCCGTACACAAAGGCAAGGGAAGCGCAGTGTTTGTTTTCCTGGGCTAAGCGATACATTTTTAGCTGCTCCCGTCTCCAGACAAGGAAGAGGATGTTTGGACGGGGCAGCTCAGATCTACCTGTCCTGGAAGCTGGCTGGAAATGGGCGAAGCGCCCCCCTCTGGGCCACGGGGGGCTCGGAGAGGACCCCACCGGGATCTTGTGAGAAAGCTCATCCCCGCTGCACCCTTTGCTGGGCCTCGGGCCCTCTGACAATGTGACAGCCCCTTACAGAGCATCACCCCGGGCCGGGCGCTTTACCTGAACGACCTCAGTGAGGGAGGCACACAGATTCCCGTTCTATCAACGACGGGCCATGGCCCGCTAAGTCCTTACCCGCTTCCGGAGGGATGGTGCTCTGACGGTGTTCACACCTGGGGATGGGGCACTGAGGCTCGGACCGGGGTTCTAGCTTGTCCCGTGTCACCCAGCAAGGAAGTGGCAATGGCAGTATTTGAATCCAAGCCCACACTTCCGCCAGCTTCCTGTTACATGATACCTCCCGTGTGGCCTTGGTCAGAGCTGCCCATCTTTTCTTGTTAAAAATATCCTCAAGTGATATTTTTATCCTCAATTGATTTTTTTTTTTTTTTTTTTTTTTTTAGGGAGAGTGAAAGAGAGGGAGGAACAGGGAGAGAGAGAAATATTGATGTGACAGAGACACATCGAACAGTTGCCTTCCACACGCACCCCAACCGGAGCTGGGGATTGAACCTGCAACCCAGGTACGTGCCCTTGACTGAGAATCGAACCTGAGACCCTTCGGTGCACAGGCTGATGATCCAACCATCGAGCCACACCGGCCAGGGCAGAGCTGCCCATCTTTTCATGTCACTTTGCACACAGAAAAGTAAACAAACGAGCTCGATGGAGGAGGCTGTGCAGACGGGACTCGGGGCCCCCAGGACCCCCCACCACCCCAGGGCGAGCAGGCATTGCAGCCCCCGAGAGGGGAGGCTGGGCCGGAGACCTGGGTCAGCCAGCCCAGCGTGTCCTTGCTGCTATGTCTGAGGATTTGACTTGGGATTCTGGAAGGATGGGGCAGGCAGGTAGCAGCAGCCCCTCTTGGTGGGGGTCTGGCTAGGACAGCAAGGCCCTCGCCGGCTTTCCAGGGGGAGGTGTTTGTGGCTGCAGGAAACGCGATGGGCCGGTCAAGAATGGAAGCCAGCCCCAGTGGAAGTCTCCAATGTCTCATCGGGAGTCGTCAGAGCAAACGTTTACCTGGCGCTCCCGGTGTCAGCAGCTGGCTCCAAGCCCTTCGGGTGCATTAACTCAGTTAAGCCTCACAACGTGCCTATGAGAAAGAGAGGAGCTATGATCACCCCCATTTTACAGGTGGGGGAACCAAGGTCTGGAGCAGCTTTGCAAGGTCAAGGATGAGTGAGGGCAGAGGTGGGCTTTGAACCTGGGCAGGCTGGTGCCAGCGTCGCTCTCTGGACATCTATGTCCATCTCCAGGCCAGGCAGAGATGAACACACAGCTGCCCAGCTGGCCTGGGCCCAGCCTCACTCACCCACAGTCTCTGGCTGAGCCCCACCCTGTCTGGGGAGGGCCAAGTGGGGCGGGGGGGGGGGGGGTTTAGGCCGAGCCCCTGGCTGAAGGAGCCTCCTCTCGCTGTAGTGAGCAGTGAGCCACATGGCGGGCTGTTGCCGACGGGACCCTAGAGGCTAGAAAGGAAACGCAGATGGAAGGTGCGGTGGCCTGTCCACTTTCAGGTCATCCTGTCCTTGTCCTCCTCCCGCCCGGCCGCCTCCTCCCACCCCACGTCCCCGTCTCCCACCGCCGTGAGGAAGCTCCGTTGGGAGAAGGTCTGACACAGCAGTGATTTCAAACCCCTGTCCCCACAGGACAAGCCAAGGGCGTTCAGAGGGGACACTGAGGTTCAGAGACATCGTGTGACTTGCCCAAGGCCACAGAGTGAATGAGGGACAGAAATGGAGTGACAGTCCTGCCAACTCCAGGGACCCCGGCCCTCCTCGGTCGGGGGAAGGACCCCTGGGCAGGGACTCGGTAGAGATGGAGGGAAGGAGAGAAGGGGTCGGGGCGAGGCTGGGGTTCACAAGGAATAGCGGGGGGCTTATTTTTACCCCAAAACACACCTTTACTGGTGCTGTCCCCAGAGCGCCCTTCACGTTCCTCTCCAATCCCGGTCTCACCCACGTCCTCGCCACGCCTGCCTGCCCGCTGGCGAGCTTTCCCTGGGGTGAGCTCCCAAAGGCGCAAGCTGTCCCTTCCCACCACTGCCTGGAGGCCACTCGAAGATGCCTTCATGTCCTGGGTGTATCCTAGGTCCCCACGGGCAGGGCCCAGGGGCCTGTGCAAAGGTTTGGATTCATGGACCAGGACCCTGTAAACCCCACAGGCCTGGCTTTGGGACCCCGGCGTGCCAGTCTGGCTGTGTGTCCCTGGGTGGGGCATTGACCTCTCTGGGCCTCGGCTTCCCCATCTGTAAACGGGGTGGCCACGTTTGCCTGGCAGGGGGGCCATAAGGATCGGTGTGAGGATGGGCATACAGGCGCCAGCCCAGTGCCTGGCACAGCCCAGTGCGTAGTCTAGTCTACACTGTTGCTCCTGAGAGTGTGGCCCACTGACAGCAGCCGCTCCCCGGGCGCTGCTCAGGCACGCACAGTGCCAGGCCCACCTCAGACCAGCTGAGCGGAATCCGCCTGTTAAGAACATCCCTGGAGACTCCTGTGCCCCGTGGAGAAGCACTGATCCCAAGGGCGGGTCACAAATGGTCGTGGTTTCACGTGGCTCCAACGAATACATTAGCCCCTGAACCACCTGACAATCCAGGCAGAGCAAAGATACCACCCCCATTTTACAGAAAGGAACACTGAGTCCTAGAGAGATCATCTGACTTCCCTAATTCACACGATCAGGAGGTGGCCGAGGCGGATTTGAACCAGTGCCAGGGGCATCAGAGCGACACCTCCTGGAATGGTCATCCCAGGCCCGCCCCGTGCTGGGCTTGAAGGAGCAAAGCCCAAGACCTCGGTGTCCTCATCTGTAGAATGGGACCCCAGCACCATCTGATCGTGGGGAGGATGCGCAGGCGTGCCCGGCCTGGGTTGTCCTCACGCAGGATTGGGTCTCCGTTACATTGCCAGCGCATCTCCCCAGAGGTGAGGCAGGCAGGTGGGAGACGGACAGGAAGACTGAGACAACTGTACAAACACCCTTGGGTGGTGCTTATGTAAGTCAATAAGCGAACAGCGGGCAGCTGGCGGGTGACAAACCGTCCTAAGTAGCTCCCACAGCAGTGAAGATGCGCCCCCGGCCACTGGGGCACATCCCTGCTGAAGCCACAGGCACCGTCATGGACAGTCCCAGGTGGGAGCACCAGGCCCAAGGGAACTGGGCCCCCTCCCCCACTTCTTCCTCCTCCCTCCCTTCTCCTCGGGCCTCTGATGAGATGCCTTCATTCTTCCTGGGGTGGGAACCGTGCGAGGAGCCCAGAATTTCCCAGCAGCCTCCACCACATCCCAGCGGTCTGACCCTGGGTGGGTCCCTGCCCTCTGGGCCGGAGATGAGGATAATTCTGGAACCGGTCACATCTGGTGATGAGGTTGATCTAGCCCAGTGATGGCGAACCTTTTGAACTCGGCGTGTCAGCATTTTGAAAAACCCTAACTTTGGTGCCGTGTCACATACAGAAATTTTTTGATATTTGCAACCATAGTAAAACAAAGATGTATATTTTTGATATTTATTTTATATATTTAAATGCCATTTAACAAAGAAAAATCAACCAAAAAAATGAGTTCGCGTGTCACCTCTGACACGCGTGTCATAGGTTCGCCATCACTGCTCTGGTGACTGAATACAGGCGCTTGGCACATAGAGAGTCGCGGTAAACAGGAGCTGTGGTCCAGCTCCCCTCGCTTGGACCAGGCAGTCCTGAGATTTGCCCCAGAGGGAATGACCGCACCCTTATTACAGATGAGAAAACTGAGGCGCAGAGAAAGTGACTTCCCTGAGGTCACATGCTGGATAGGGTCGGAGCAAAGTCATATTTGAACTTAAGTCACAAGACTCCCAGGACAATGCTCCAGGGCAGTGGGAAACAAGGCCGGCGCCCCCAAGCCCCACCCAGAGGGAGACCTTTTCTCCTGCGGGTCTGGGGGGGGGAGGGGGCGCACAAATGGGCAAGCGAGTCTGTGTGGCATGGGAACTGGGCGAAACGTGGGCATCGTGCGTATCCATGAGTGCACACGGGCCTGGGCGGAAGGGAGCAGAAAAGCGCCCCCAGGGAATTGGGGCTGGCCCACAGGGGTCACCCAGGACCTGCCCTGGGCCAGAGGGCCCCCCCAATGCCGGTGCCGGGGGGCTTGCCGTCCCTAAAGACCACCACAGGGTGGAGGAGGCATCTCGGCCTCCACCCGGCATCTCCCCGTCCCCCCTGCCACCACCCCAGCTCCTTCCTGTTTTGATGGAAGGAAAAATTTTCAGCTTTTTTCCTTCTTTATTTTTCCAGACGGGTGACTCGCTCGGGAAAGGAATTCCCCCCTCCCCAAACCATCCTAGTACCTATATATCGATGCCACGGATCCAGGCCCATCCTGTTGTGCTGAGAGTCACGGTTATTTTTGGGTGCCTGACGGGGGTGGTACCCCAGGGGAGGGCATATGGGGGTGCTCAGCTGCCTTCTCCCAGTCCACATCCCCCTCCCAGGTCCCTCCCCACCCCCAGCCCATCCTCCCTGCCCGCTTCAGGGAGGAGGGAAGGAAGCCAGGGTATAAATAACGCAGGTGGTTACTCAGCTCCTGAGAACATGATAACATGAGTCATGATGTGAAATCTAGAGGAGCCGTGAACAGCCTCCGGCCGCGAGGCCCGGGGCATGGCAGTGGGGCTGCGGGGAGAGATCAGGCGCTGGGGGGACCTGCAGCGGGCAGGCCCGGGAGGACGGGAAGCTGCTGCCCCACGAATGGTCTCAGACCAGCCTCCTCCCAGCTCTGACCCTCAGTTACTCACGTGTAATGGGCTGGGGGTGGGGAGGGGCTGGCTTCATTCTCAAGGGCGTCCCTGAGCTGGGAGGAGGAGGACGGAGGGCAGGGGCACGCCCTGGCATCGTTGGTCCTCTCCCTGTGCCTGTCACAGGTCAGTAGGAGGAGCGGGTCTGTTGGAACGTCTGGTCGCCTCCCCCATTTTCAAGGCAGCCGGCCCCCCGAGTTCCCTGGGCGTCCATGGGACTTGCAGGATGGAAGGTGGGGGCGTGGGCAGCAGCATGAGATTCCTGGACACTGGCCCGCAGAGCCTTCCCCCCGCAGGGTGGCCCGGAATCGGGGACAGTCCTCACCCTTTGTTAGCTGCCGGGCCGCAGGGTGGCATGAGGCGTGGGTGCAGAAGCAGGATCACTGGCCTCGCCCTTGGGATCAGCCCAGGCGGCGAGGCCGGGCTGCTGGCCTAGCCCCAGGCTCCAGCAGGCAGGGCCTGAAGGCACCCGCAGCCTCGGCCTGCTCACCCAAGGAAACCCTCTCCAGAGCAGGGCAGGCCTGGACCCTGGGTTGCGGCCCAGCCCCTCCGGCAGGCAGGGCCTGAAGGCACCCGCAGCCTCGGCCTGCTCACCCAAGGAAACCCTCTCCAGAGCAGGGCAGGCCTGGACCCTGGGTTGCCATGGCGACCGGTTCTAGAGCCCCTGCAGGCAAGCCACCCTCTCCTGTCACCCAGGGCTGCCTGGCCTGGTGGGAGGGCCGCGGGCCAGGGGCACAGCTGGTTGCGGGGGACTCGGGCTGGGAGTCAGGAACCCGCAGCCTCGGCCTGCTCACCCAAGGAAACCCTCTCCAGAGCAGGGCAGGCCTGGACCCTGGGTTGCCATGGCGACCGGTTCTAGAGCCCCTGCAGGCAAGCCACCCTCTCCTGTCACCCAGGGCTGCCTGGCCTGGTGGGAGGGCCGCGGGCCAGGGGCACAGCTGGTTGCGGGGGACTCGGGCTGGGAGTCAGGACGCGCGTCCATGTGGCCTTCAGCAACTAGCTCCCGGGTCTGAGCCTCGGGCGCTTGGCCTATAAAATGGCGAGTGGAGAGGACTAACGGGAGTCGCAGTGGAGTGGCTGTTACCCACCCAGAGACCCCCCTCACCCGGGAGGCATCCTCCCTCCATCTTCAGCCTTAATCCCGAGGGCAGCTCCCAGGCCCTGCACCCCCAGCTCCACCCTGATGACCCTTGGCCTGGGTTCTCCCTGGCAGGCAGGAAGGGACCACCCCTCCCACTGCCCCCGACCCCGGCATGCCCAGACAGCCTGGCATGGCTCAGACCCAGCCATTCAGTGGACGTTCTGCCCTCTGGCCCCTCACAACAATGGGGACTCCAGGAATATTGTCCGGCCGGAGCTGAATCTAACGCTCTAAATATAGCTCCTCTGATTCGTCCTCCACTTCCTGCCCCTGCTGCCCTCGTTCAAGGCGATGAGGTCACCCCGGAATCACACCCCAGCAGCCAGGCCCAGGGGGTTTCCAGGCCCAAGGCTGCCCTCCTGCTCTTGGGGAACTGGCGACAAGGGGACTGGGGTCAAGGATCTTCCCTCCTCCCTGCCCTGCCGGACCCTTGGCTGCTGGGCCCACAGCTGAGTCCCCAAGAACTTTGCCACCAGCCTGGGTAGGGGAGGCCACGGTGGGAGGAGGGGGCATCAGGCACCCGTGGAGAAAGCACACGTGGAAGGACCAGGGGCCTGGGCAAGCTGGAAAAATCACGGAGCCCCACAGGCACCCGTTTGAAAACGACCTGCTGAGGGCCTGCTGCGTGCGGGCCCAGCGCTAGGCACAAAGCCCGGGTGTCCTCCTGCGTGGACCGTCCACAGGAAGGACAATCAGCGCGTAAACAATAAGTGACCACAATCATTTTAGTTGTGACAAATGTTCTGAAGGAAACGGATCAGGGAGAAAGGTCTGGGTGGGGCCGAGCCATCCAGGCTGGAGGCGGGTCAAGGACAGACGCCCAGGAGAGAAGAGACTTGTCTGCCTGGGGGCAGTGGGGAGTCTGGGACAGCACTCCCAGGGGCCAGGGGCCAGGGGTCAGGAGGCAGCATTCCCTGTGAGGGCGGCCCCTTCCCCGGGGCAGTGAGCAGGGAAGCTACTGCTGTCTGCTGAGTAGAGAAGTGACTGCAGGGAGACCGGAACCTCACACCTGCTGGTTAGAGGGCGTCTTCAAGACTGACCCACTTGCCTGGCTGCCTGGCGCAGTGGTTGAGCATCAACCTATGAACCAGGAGGTCACGGTTCGATTCCCAATCAGGGCACGTGCCCGGGTTGCAGGTTCGATCCCCGGTGTGGGGCTTGCAGGATTCTCTAATCATTGATGTTTCTATCTCTCTCTCCCTCTTCCTTCTCCTCTGAAATCAGTAAAAATATATTTAAAAAAAAGATTGACCCGCTTCAGTCCTCTCCTGAGTCTCTGAGGCCCAGAGAGGGCATGTGTCTTGCCCAAGGTCACACAGGAAGGCGGAGCTTGGCCTGGGGAACCTTTGACAGGTAGTAAGAGAAACTGCACCTGAAAAGGATGTGTCTTTTCTAGGACACCATGTCCGAGGCACTGTCCTCACCCAGCGCCCCCCGTTCCGCAGTCTGCACTGTGGCCCCTGCCCAGGCTCCTGTTGGGGTGCCGGTGGGCAGCGGGAGATGTGCAGTCCCTGGGGGACCCGTGGGGGTCTGTCCTGCCTCTGGCCGGGCTCCGCCCACATCCTGTGGACAGGTGCCCTGACTCTGGCCCCTCCCACAACCCTCTCCAACCGCCACCCTCACCCCCATGCCCCTGCCCTGTGCATCTCCCAGAAGCCCCTGCTCTCATGTTCTGCCAAGAGTCTGGGGTTGGCAGGGAGTTGCGGGGGGCCTCTGGAATGTCGCTTTCCGGTGCCAGCACCAGTGTGCCAACCTTGGCAGAGGCCTCGGGGGCGGATGGGGGATCACCAGATCTTGTCTGGAATGGGGAGGCTGGCAG